CTGCGCAGACCATCGAAGATGTGCTCACAACTTCGAACGGCACCACGTTCTATATTCTGGTGGAGCCAGGTGAACACGGCCTGCTTGGGAGCCCGGAGAGTATTAAGAGTATGAAGACGTGTATAACCTTTATTACGGATACACAAGGTACCAATTGCAAAGTGAAAGCTATTGCTGAGTGTGTCATATGCTTTATCGTTATTTGCGTAGGGTTGGTTACAATTTCATTTCATTTTGATGTGTTGTAAAGTGTCAAATAAAGAGCGAGTATTTCCCCATATGAAGGAGGAAAGTATTCTGGTAAGACATGAAGATTTCCCAATAAAATGCACTTCTAGATGTTTGGCGTGACGACTTCCTGATTATCTTAAGCAGTCCTGTTCTCGTAGATTGCAGGGTCTACAACCAACACCTGCCTGCTTTTTTTTTCTGCCAAAGCTAAAATCTGACAACCGCCTCATAGATTCTTGGTTTTACGACCCTTGTCCCTCCATGTGTGAAATGAAAAAGAGCATAACTATACCGATAATTTTGTTGTCTTTTGTAGAAGAGGACGAAGAAGAAGACATTGTACCGCCTTATATTGAGGCCATCGTGATCAAGGAAGAACTTTTCTTGGATCTCAGAAGACAGTAAGAGATTGACTAAGCACTTTTCTCTACCAAAATTTTCAAAAAATGGAAAAAGAGAGGAGAAAAAAATTCGTTCTTAATTTAAACGAAAAGCGTGGGCGAAAACTTTATGGAAGAATTTAGAAATGCGAGAGGAAATCTGCTGAAGTTCTATGTGAAATTTATTTGGAAAACGCGTTCAATGAATGACTGCCTCTTTTGTAACGCGTCAAAAATTTGAGAGAAAGTCTGCTAAAGTTCTGTTTAAATTTTGTTTGGCAAACGCATTTAGTGAATGACTGCCTCTTTTTGTCGTTGTTGAAGGAGGCATTCAAAATGTTAGGTTGGGGTTCATTAATTGAATGTATTATTCTGATTGGCCGTCATTTTCCAAAGTTACTATCAATTTTCCGATCACTCGTAACTAACACTATTCATTTTGGGTGATATGGGGTCTTAAGCGTTTCGAGAAGAGAGAAATGAATTAATAAACGAATGTTACTGGAGACATTAGAAGGGTTTGTGTCCAATTCTTTTCCTTTTCGTAACGGTCAGAAATCTCAAAAACCATTGATGGAGCCCTAAGTTGAAGTGAATAAATAGCAGGTTGTAGTTTGCTGTTTTATTGCATTGCAGCATAAGAATGGAGTTCTTGGAACATCTCGAGGAATGGAAAATTCAAGCCAAGGACAGAGCGAACAGTGTTGTAGCGGCTAAGGTGAGTTGAATAAAGGGATATTTAGTTTGTGAATTTTCGGTATTCCCTCTTTTCTGATTTTGTATTACCAAATGCAAGATTTTATCTCCAAGACCCAACATGACCGCCGAACTGTCTTGATAACAGAGAAGAATGTGAATGTTACCAGTCCGCTGTTAGGGCGCATTTCGATTTAGTGTCCTAAAACAAAAAGAAAAGCCATGTTATCGGCCAAGATGAAAAAAGGTTGATATCCCAGGGAACTAATCAGAGATCAGAGTACCTACATGAATAAGGCCTGAGTCGCAGCAAAAATAAATGCGATTGTTACGTCACGATTGACTGGTGTGTTGTGATTTCTATCTGATAGACCAATTACAAAGCACGGTGAAACAAAACCAATACGCGCAAGCCTGAAGCAGGCGACATTCAGTTGCTCTAGTTAGAAAAGGTTCCTGATGTAAATTTTTACAATCTCTTTGCAGGTTGAGGAGTTGAACAGCGAGTTAGATTTACGACTTCATCTACATGAACCAAGGGCATCCAGAGCTGAGCAGGATGTGCATAATGTTAGAGCAGGTTCGTCCAGCGTAATCCCTTATATACCTAATCCTTTATATTATAGACAAAGTAACCCTGCCAGGGTTTGGACACGGATAATTTGAACGGGTGTCCAGCACCTAACCACCAGGCCCCTCAGAGTGCTTCTACGTTAGATAATTACATAAAATAGTCGACTCTCACTGACTGACACTGCGTTATAGCCGTAAAATACCTCTCAGGAATGTATGGGCATTGTGGCCTTAAAATGTACCGAAGGTGTTCCCTGTATCTAGGGCTGAATGTAGTGGAAACGTTAGCGAGCATCCTTAGTTCTTTCGGGGTTCATCGGGTAGGGTTTGGCATTTTGCAGATTCTTGAGGGAAGTACGCGAGCTTCACTCCACCAACTGTTCCTTCGCACATCTTCGCACATCTTTAACTAAAAGTGTAAGCTTACTGTAGTGTGATCTTGTTTTTTGCAGCGGAATTGGTGATGCATCGAGAGCGGGTTGAACGCCACTGTAGAGGAGTTACTACGTCGTTGAACGAGTTCAAAACCAGGTTCCAACAGATGGTCGAAGAACATGATAAAGAGGTAAGATCGACTCTTAACCGTCAGCTAGCCTATGAGTACGTCACTAGACGTACTTTGACGTCACCAGACGTACTTTGACGTCACTAGACGTACCTTGCCGTCACTGGACGTACTTTGCCGTCACTGGACGTACTTTGCCGTCACTAGACGTACTTTGCCGTCACTAGACGTACTTTGACGTCACTGGACGTACTTTGCCGTCACTAGACGTACTTTGCCGTCACCAGATGAATGTAGCGATAACTAGGCATACTTAACCGTCAATCCTTTAACTTCAAGAAATGATAACCGTGAAAATTCTCCTTACGAATTAAATTCATCACCCTTTTAGAGGGTCACCGGACGTTTTAATCGACAATGGAACAACTTGATGAAAATCATGAACTAACTCCAATTCATATCTTTTTTCTTTTCAGACGGACATTTTTAAACATTCTGTTCAAGAACTCGAAGCAACATTTACATCTGCGACTAAAACTCACGAGTACGTACATTTGCATTTATTTCAAAGTATTAATGTATGTCCTAAGGTGTTTCTGATTACATTGTGTTGTGTAGTAATTATTGCTGTTCTGCAGCTGTAGTTATCTCTTTGGTTTATCCTTTTCCTTTTTCTTCTTCGATATTGATTTTTTTATGTCGTAAAGTACCTGTTAAAGTCTATGGATTCTTGAGGCAACTATATATCTAAGCCCATTGCTCCTCCTGGGGCATAGGCCGTCAACAACAGTCCGCCAGAGACCATCCTTTCTAATTGGCTCCATGAGTGGCCGGTCTTTCTGATGTTAACCTCGAGGTCACGACACCAGATGTTCCTTGGTCACCCTCTCTTTCTCTTACCCTGGGGATTCTAGCGGAGGGCCTGTCTTGTGACGCTTGATGTTAATTTGCGATGGTTGTGCTCTGAGGGATGGGGCACACCCTTCATGAGGCATGGCTTGACTAAAAACAACCACAGCGACTTCAAACATAACAGAAATACACCTAATACGCAGGTCGGGAGTTTCAGTGCCGATTTCAAAAATTTGAAAGAATGTTTTATCGTTTTTCTATCAGACTCTTGGTGATTCAAGATCAAGTAACTGGGCGAGTTGAGCAAGTAAGGTCTTCTTTTTTATCGCTAATGTAGATGACTCAACAAGGACATCTGTAAAAGTTAAATTGAAATTCTACACTACGAGATTTTCTTGGCAGGTGTTGCTGACAAGTTGTCCTTGCTTGTTAAAAGTTATCCTCGTCAGGCTCTCAGATCTCGCTAGGGTAAATTCGCCTTCGCACAAAACAAGGACTCACATACTGTTTTCGGTAGATCTGGGCTTTAATCAAGTCTTATCCAAACGCTGGTTTCTTTTGTAATACATATGGCTCAAGATTTAAACAACACACAATAACACCAGAAAAAACAGAGATATTAATCTTCTCCACCCGTACTCTGTTGGTCATACCAGGGGTCTGTATCCAAAAAATTATCCATCAAATTTACCAGGTACTGATTCTGTTTGAATTGTGTTCATAGTATATGGATGTGATCAGAACTTCCCTCAGAAAGTTCCGTCACGATCTGGACGATATGTTGAGCACTCTACGGAATTCAAATGCAAGATTCAGGAAGACGTTCAAGTAAGCTTTCCATGATCCATGTAGTAAAGTTTAGCAAGAGATTAAGTACCATGTAATGTAGTTCTTGCATTGAGCCCAAGTTGAGTCTTTAGTGTAGAGAGACACAGTTAAAGTGAGTGCGCTTTACTTTATCATGGAGAGTCATTAGGTGACGGACTCGTGTTTTTGCGTACAATGAAAAATGTAGCTTAATTTGTTTTAAGTGCGAGTCTGGAATCCGTGTTAATCTTCTCTGTCTTCGTTTCTTACTCGCTAATTTGTACCTTTAGTGCTTTTCTATTCGGCTTTGTTCGTTTTTTGTAGTTTCTACCAATTTGACGAGTAATAAACAGCAAAAACAGTTAGCGTGACATCGTGAATGAGCTAACTTGTGTTTCATTGTTTTTGTTTTTGTTTCTTTTTTGTAGGGTATTCTCTGATGGTGGAAATTTTTCGACGGATGAAGTAGATGAGTACAGAAAGAAACTAGTAAGTACTTTTGCTGGCATCAGTCTTCTTTCTAACGGGCTGTCTCTTTCTTTGGTAGTATTGAATCTTCACTGTCATTGCATGACTCTTTCAGGAGCGTATGGCGAACAAGATCGACTCGTCTGAAGGATCTTTCATGGCTGAATTAGAAGGAATGGAGTCCAAAAGATTAGAAGCAGCATATGACTATGCTGGAAAGCTGGAGGACAGGTAGCAAATGGATAGTAAATTTATAAATTGAATTATGAGGGTCCTACTCGGAAACTCTTCTTCACGGTCATACAAATCTCTACGGTCGTACTTGAGTGTTTTTGGCCGAGTATTATCTCTGAATATCACTGTTAGAATTTTAAGTAGTTGGAGCTGGGACTCAAGGTATTGTGAACTCATATCTCGCCACACGTGATCTATAGGTCGTTTCCTTTCAAATATACTCTGTACTGAGGTTATTGCAAAATCTTCCCACTAGATATCTATCTTATAGGTACGTAAATTTGGTAAGAGAAACGGCGGAGGTAAGAGGCGTCTATATGTTTTTTTCGTAGCAGCAACACCTTTGAAAGTCATAGTGACGTCTGCTTGCACCTTTTTGTGGATTTTACTACGTATTCTTCCGTGGAAATTGGTCCTTGATATTTTGCGGGGGAAAAAAGGTTGATCACTGTACTCGGTTACGGTAAAGTGACGAATTATCCCTTTAGGGAGGTTCCTCTATTTTAAGAAAGGGAATCCGCGATTTTTTTATTTGAATGCTATAATTAAGTGGAAATGATGCACAGAGAGAATGTGTAGTGAATTATTACAGAGAGATCTCAATTCAGTCTATAAGGACTGCCAACCTGAGATTTGGCCTTTTTTCTTTGTGCTTCGTGCTGTGTAGAACTTTTGTTCTGGAACAGTGGTTTTAAGTCCCTAATCTGTTCGTTTATCAATGGTGTTTGCTCTGATTTTTAGATTTAAAAATCATTTGTTTGACTTAACATTCATGGAAAAAGTAACGAGGTGGCTCACAAACACGCAAGTCAAAGTCAAAAGTGAGGTAAGCTATTGACTTAAAGTACACTTGTTGTCATGAGAACTCGCTTGTTTAATAATTTTTCACTCCCCATAGACACAAACCTGGCCCTGCAGTCAAATGTCTAGCTTTGAAGTACCTGTCTTGTATTTCAGGTCGCATTTAGCAATTCTCAAGCGAAAAAGCTCGCCATTTATTTGTCCACCTTTGAACGTCACATTGATGCAGTTGAAAAACCAAATCTTGACAAAGAGGTGAGTTCTTTGACGACAGTTTATTGGTTATAGAACTGTTCAGTGTCATTCGTGTTACTTGCACGATATTGGCGATGCAAAGAGAAAGCGTCAGTTCAAACGGAAGAATGTAACGTAGAAGCCTCAAAGTTCCCCTCTATTGTCTGAAAACAAGCTGGGGGTTTATTGGCCGACCAATCAGAAGCAAGCAAGTATCGCTAATTATGGAACTAGAGGTTTGAGCATTGCTGTCCTTCACTAACAACCACAGCCGATTTCAATGAGGCATTGGAAAGGTTACATAAATGAAAGTAAAAGTCATAGTCGTTATCGAAAAGCACTGAATAAGTTGTGGTAAAATTTATTTCTCTACTACCACTTTTTTGTGGCGGTCGTTAAAAGTGGAATACCTATGAAACCAGAGCATTACTTTGACGCTGTTAGCTGAAAATGACTTACACTTGTAAAATCAACAGTCGAGAAAAAGCCTCTGATTTTTCAAAGAGTGGAAACGGTACTAAAACGTTTAAATCGATGGGCTTTCAAAAGAACAAGAAGGTCAAAAATGTGAACGGCGCACCTCCAATTTACTTAGTATTCTGTAGAGTTGTAAAAGTTTTGAAAGGAAGTTAGCTAAACTGGGGTAAATAATATTTTCAAAAAAATAATTTACTTCCTCACTTAACCGATTTTAAATTTTTGGCACGTGTCCGATATGCGATTTTAAAAGCTAGTGTCCGATTTTTAGATATTTGAAAGTATTTGAATTAAATTATGCCCAATTAGATTACCTAGGTAGGCGCCATTGACATATTTACTTTGCCAATATGAATAGTGCACCAATTATGTTAGACTATTTTAATGGTGATTGCAACTGAAACTTAAAGAGAACATTGAACGTGATATTCTACACGGACTGTTTCTGTTAATCGTCTTCCTCTGCAGCAAGTGACAGCTCGTGATGTACAAAGCAGCTTAATCCCGATCCTCCAAACATTCCATGAAAGGTCATTGTACTTGAATTGTCTACTAAATCCTGCCACGCCCAGTCTGGCGATTCTACAGGCCGGCCTCAAGAGAAAGGAGGATAAGAAAGAAGAAGAAAAGAAGGAAAACAAAGGATCGAAGGGAACGCTCAAGTTAGTTGGCATCTGTTAAAAATATTTTTTCCTTATAATGTGTTTTTTTCAAAATATCTGCTTAAGAGGTCCATAGATTACTTCTTGGGGATGTCCAAAATGAAGAGGCTTTTTTGACATCACGAAATTGAGCCCCAATTTATCAATTAATCTAATCAGCAATAGCGAAGGCATATATTATTTAAGTGGCTCGAGAATAATACAAGTGTCGTACGTGTGCTTGATAGGAGAGATTTCTTGGTATACGTGGATTCCGTAATCCTTTTTTTTTTTTTGTAATATGCGTTTTTTCATGCCAAAACATTGTCAATTTTATGGAAATCTTCCTTACTTTGTATGCACTTTAGTTCTGTTAAGTCTTCCTTACTTTATCAATATTTGTAGTGTTGATCTCTGCTCTTTCTTTGTGTCCGGTGTGTGGTTCTTGCACTGATTGTGGTTTTCGTTCTAAGTTTTAAGCGCGGGATCTTTAGCCCTCATGTCATTGGTGACCTTGCTTTAATTGCCTGGCTTTAGGAGGAAGTTCTCTTTTCATTGAGCATTATTTCCCTCCTTTACCTCCTTCTTTCCCTCATTTTTCACCGGATGCTCACTCAATCTCTTTCTTTTGCATTACATAAAGTTGAAGGTTGAATATCTTACTCCAGAGTCGTCGGGGTTTTGATACACTATCTCAGTTGTGCAGCGTGTAACCATTTTCAAGTGCTTTCAGTAACAGAAATCTCTGTATCTCCTTTTGCGTTTTGCCTTCTCTTATTCTTTCTCTCTGTTTCGTGTTCTTTCAATCCTTTAACGTTCTCTACAGTGCTTCTCTCTGTACTATCGTGGAGGAAGAACTTGAAGATCTGTATTCAGACTCCAGTGAGGATGAACTGTTAACCACGGTCCAGAGCGCGGTTGTAGGAAAGACGATCTTGTCGTGGCGTCGTGTGTACAACTTTCCTTCTCCTGAAAATTATCGTCAATTTGTTGAGAGTCCTTTGTCACCTACTTTGTCTGAAGGGAAGGTTTCTCCAAAGTATGTCTCTGAAATCCCTACTAACAATCTCTTCCGAACTTCTTTAATCATATTTCTTTCTTTTTTTTGAAGGTAGTCACTATCTACCTAGTTGTAGAAACTGTAACTGTTGTAGAAACTGTAACTGTTAAGAGTTGCAATTGTAACCTTCTTTAAACTAAAATGATTGTCTCCTATTACTTTTGTTTTTGTTCTCGTTCTTTCTCTGTGTCTTCTCTTAAGTATTATTTGAACTTATTTTGTATCATTAATGAGATTATTTTCAGAGAAACTGTACTTTGTTGCATATTGAGTTTTCATAATGTAGAGAGGGGGGCGTCCGTGGTATTATAACATGGCGCGGGACGACTATTGTAGAAGGATAGGACATAATCCTAGATTTGTCAGAGCGCGCGTATCTTCTTAATCACTTGTACTGTGATGCCATACCAACGTTCAATTCACTGAAAACGGTCATTTGTTGACGCAAGATATTCTTTATGAAATAATCCACGTTTGGATGTTTATCTGTCTATAATACTGTTGAAAAAACGCTTGAGTTATTTTTGCCCTCAACAGGCCAAAGAAAAGCAAGAAAAAGATTTCCCAGAAAACGGTAACAGAGAACACGGAGACTACAGAATCCACTGAGACACAGAATGGGGACGGAGTCAAACCCAAGAGTACTCGTAAGTAGCACTGAATACGAACATTCAGTGATTTTGATAACATTATAACGTAACAAGGTTTTCTAACTGAGGTTTTAATTACATTATTTCGTTATTTTTAGCATCACTCTCAAGGGTAGCGAGGGCCACAGATGGTGATGGAAGACCAAAAACAGTCCCAGGAGAGGTATTTTAATTCACTTTTTTGTACTAAAACTATGCCATTTTGACTTGTGTTTGATCAATGGGTACAACTATTTCAGTTTTGGTCATTTGCTTTCATTTCTGTTTTAGTTTTTTTAATCCTCAGTAAACGTTCTTAGCTATACTGGCATGACTAGGTTGTTAAGTTTTAACAAAACCAACTCTTACCTTTCTTTTTACACGCTTTTTCGATGATGGATAGTGAAAAGATAAGAACTATCACAATGTGTGGCGTGGCGTGGCACGGCACATTCTATGAGGGTTGTGTCAAGAACTGACCATAAACGTTTTTATTGAAAAGAGTAAGCCAGTTGTAGAGTGCATTAATGCTAATTGTTGATCGATGATTGTCTTTAGCTTAGCCACAAGCTTTCAGATCAGGATCTAAAGTCAAGACAAAGGAGCGCTGGGTGAGAAAAATCAAATTGTGTTATTTCTTCAGATTCTGTATCTTACTTTCTGGTATATTGATATGATTTCTCAAAGAAAATAAAATGTGGCTTTGAAGAAGCTTAGTTCAGCGGTCTTCTGCTGATTCAGTTAGTCTACATTTACGTATACCGACAGGATGGATGATAGAAAAAAAATGCTGTTTCACGCTAAGAGCAAAAAAGAAGCTCTGCAGAACGAATGAGCAATGATGCCAATGATTTTGGTTAACGCAGATGAAAACTTTCTTCCCATGAAATGCGAATTAACATTGCGGTTAAAGATGAACCAATAACACAAAGAAACGCGAAACGTCTTTCAAGTTTTTATTGCTTGTGTCAAGTAAAAAAGCGAACGATTCCTTCGTACCGGTATTAATGATTTAATGATTCGAACAAAAATTTAAACGGGATGTCTCCATTTAAGCACTAGCTGGTTTAAATTGAGTGCCATCACTACCACACCGTGATATGTTACATTACAGTTATGTATGTACGGTAGAAAAAATTGAAATGATTGTCTGGTTCTGAAGGGATTTCCAGGAGCAGTTTCAAAAAGGTACGTAAGGGTACTTGATCAGGGAGAAGACTCTTTTCTCTACAAAAAAGAGCCCCACTATTTTGTGGCTCTTTGCATTAGGGGTTCATCACATCAGACTCCTACTTCTAAAGTTACATTTGTGTGTCATATTTCAGATTGTCTAACAGATTTATTATCCATTTGCTTATTTCTGAACAGTCGAAAAGTAAGTGCGTCTAGACGGGATCCTTCGGGACCTAGATACGACAAGAAATACCTGGTGTTTGGTGAAAAGGTGGAAGAGGGAAGGTATGAATATTATTACCTGTAAAGTTTGTTCAGTCAGCCCGAAATTTTTCAACAAATAAGCTGATGTTTATATCATTTGCGTTTTATTCGGGCTTTTTTCTCGTCTTTTTTGACATAATTTATTCAATGCTCTATTTGGTGTCTGTAATAAGGCACAAGTTTAATAAATTGTGTAACGTAAAAAGTATAACGACGCGAGCCAAATAGCCCCAAGTTGCCCATGCCTCAAGAGCTCATTACGGTTTCCGAAACAGTATTGCTGCTCCCCTCCCCCCCCTTCCCCCCGTGTAAGATGAAAGTTCATCGAAAGTCACCACCAACGTTTGGTCAGGTTTTGCCCACAGTTGACTGTTATCCATTTATACTCCTGGATGGAGAGAGGTAGCACATAATGACATAGATAGGGCCCAATCTTCCTAGAGCGGGGCCCGGCTTGTCTGTCCACGTATTACCTGTGTAGGCTTGAGGCGTGGAAAAAACTCAAATCTACGCTTTTCTACAGGTACCAACAATGCAGTAGTCTTTTGGATAATCGCAGAAAATTTCAAATCAGTCAAAGAGTGAAGTATTTCCTTGCCCTACTGAGGTGTATTTACAAGTGTGATTTTGTCTCGTCCTAGACACTTTATGGCGCGTATCAAAAACACATTGAGGGAAGGCCTGGAGGGTTTATTGGCTACTTCTGAGGTATTTGTGAATTTTACTCTGGCATATTTACTCGAATCTTTAACATTAACTAACATTTTCCACTTTTGTATTCCGTAAGATGTATTATCGCCAGAAAGGCCAACGGACTCCAACGCGGCCCCAGGCTATTCATGAAAATTTTGATCTGTGCGCGGAAGCATTGGTTCAGCGGTTGACTTCTTATAAAACTCAGGCCGAGGAATATCACAACTCGTGTATTCAAGGTAAGGAAGAATGGGAGAAAAAAAAGAGGTTGAGAGTGTTTTCAGCCACGGATTGAGTTACGGTCAAGGGTTTCTTCGACGTAAGTTACTGATCGAAAATCCTTTCCTAAACCATGGTTAATTTTCAAGTTACACCTTGCTGTCAAGCTTCACAGATGGAATGGACTGCAGATGTCTCATTTTGCTCCGGGCTTGTTGCTTGTCTACCCGGCGGAAGAAGTATGGGTCACCGATAATCATCTGTTAAGCCATTTCTAAATTTCACTAGTCATTTCTAAACTAAACAGGCAACGTAGAAGAGTTTAGAACTAGTTGTCGATGTTTTTTTCGGAGATACGTCTATGGTTGTTGTTGATGTTCTTTTTTTCATGTTATCAATTTTTAACAGAACTTCGCGCGCAGATGCAGAAGTTTTCAGTAATTTTAGTTCACCTCCCGCCACTTGTGGTGCAGATAATAGTCGCTGATCAGCTCAGGGACTTGGCCAAAGAGAGGAAAGAATTAGAGGAAGACTATGAAGTCAGAGTTCAAGAACTAGAGAAAAGAAAGGTAAAGTAACATAAAAACTGCTCGCGGCTATCATAAGAAATTTACTTGATCGCTGACAGCGTACCGTACTTCACAGTAGTTGCTAGCTTTCATTGTCTTGCTTTTGGCAGGTCTGCCCTCTTTCCTTATCCAAGAAATCTCCTAAGAACCATACAAAAAGGAAAATTTAAGCTCGCTACACGAGTTCTGAACATGCAGAGCTGGAGTTAAATGTATCATTTAGACATTTCCTCTCTGTTTGCTGTTGTTATTGATCTCTTTTTTCCTTTGGAGAAATGTTTACGTGACGAGTGATATTCATTTGCTCGCACGTTTTCCAGAATTTACATCAATCTCAACTGCGACCATCTCTGGGCCATCCACACAACAGAACCGAGATGGACACACTTTGTAGCAGCGAGGAGAGAAGAAGACAAGAAGCCTTGGATGGAGCTAAACAACATGCAGAAGCATTAGCGGTCAGTCATCAGCAATCCCTTTGATGCTCAGTCGTGATTAGAGCGTGCACAGTTTACGATAAAATCAGAGAAGGTTGCTCATTTTTAAGCCACTGGCGTGTAATTTTGTAACTGAGAAAAGAGGATAGGTAACGAGAGAGGATCAAGTTTAGAAGACTAAATTCCCAATTAAAGACCTTAGGAGTTATTTCTAAGGTAACCCCTCCTAGGGCTTCACACGGAAGATCACTTCCGGTTTCTTCGACCTTAGTGGGATCTGGAAATAACCAAGCGTGTGCCATTAATGCTCACACGAGCATCCTCTGTGTTGTCTATTTTTGTTCCACTGAAGTATTTGCGTAACAAAATTTTGCTTTTCAGAAACTTGAAGCTCAGTTCGCAAGCTCGTTTATTGAGAAGCTAGCGCAGACATGTGAGACCATGTTACTACAGTTTGATGCAGTTCTCTCTCTTGAAGATGTCGAAGTGGGAAGTAAGTTGGATCAAATTTTAAAATCTAACTATTAAAGAAGCCGGAAGAAAAACAAAACAAGGCTGGTTACTGATTTATTTATTCTCCAACTTACAAGAACTGCTTTGGTTTTTACAGAGGTTGAACCCAAACCGAAGAGCACCAAGAGATTGCTCAGAGAAAAATTAGCCGGTGATGAGGACGGAAAAGGTATAAAAATATATATATATATATATACATATTTCTTAAGCGTATATGCGTAAATATAAATATGCTTAAAATAAACCTTTCGTGAATCAAAGTTTAGTTGTTGGATAGAAAAAATCAGAACCTCAGATTTTGCTTTTGATAATGGAGTATGTTGTTGCAGATAAGTTGGCGCCTTTCCCGTCTGGTGGTACATCTTGGGAAGGACTGCCAACGAACGAACTTGTGCTGGAAGAGCCGATTGACAAGAAGAATAATATCCTTTATTTATCTTAAACTAGACTGGTCAAGTTATTATTTTTTTCTTTTTTATAGTCAGGCTCTTGGAGCATGCATGAGCTTTGTATTTTTGATTGGAGGTTACTTTTTAATTACGGAAATATAAGTGGTCAGGAAGGACTTACTGTTAATACCTCAAAAAGTACCTCACTGTTTTAATAGTACGAGAAACGCACAGAAAACGGAGGAGGTTTTTGTTTGCTCGTTTTAAATTCTTCACCAAGTAAGGGGGGAAAACCAAGTAAATCATTAATTATGTATTATGTTAGCTTTTTCGCGCTGTTAGTTTTAACACTTAGCACTGTTCTGTACAGAAATGTAGTGTAATTGATTGAAATACGACTGTAAGTGGTGAGCGTCATGAAAAGCGGTTATGTATTTTCTCTTTCATCTGTTTGAAACTTGGAAGAATAAACGGAAATTTTTCTTTAACTCTTAATCACGAACCCCAACTGTAAAGACTGTTAAGACAACGCAAGGACACCTAGCTGTGATAAAATCGCGCAACAAAGCATATGAGGTAAGACTTGATATGATATTGCAGGGTATCACAAAAGTAGAAGTCAACAATATTGTTATAGCATCTATGATTATTAATTTCTCAGTTCGGCGTTAGAGTGTTCAGTTTTGATTGGAACATAGCCTTGTAAAACTGGTTGAGGCTATTTCCAAACACGATGGTCCCTGTTCTCCGTCACAAAGGCTGTTATTTTTACAGTTTGAAGGTTTTAGCGGAGGTCATCATCGGGTTGTCAAGACGTATGTCACCGTTATCGACTAAATCCTTCTTCGAGACTGTTCCTATCGATCCTTTCAAAGTTCGTTCGTTGGTATTGGTTGGTATCGTTCAAATGAGTCATGTTTTAACATTTGTATTATTTACGTCCTGCAGGGTTACAAAGAAAAGTTTGATGCTCGACTGACAGCCATACGAGAAGAAATGAATGCACAGATACAAAACGAAGAACGATGGACACGAAGTTGGCAACGGTCAATCACCAAAATAAAAGAACTTTATTAAGATGGTTTCCTCCAGGAATGGTCGATTTGAGTTTGTATTTTAGAACAGTTTGTTTGTAAAAGGTTTTGTTTGACACTGCCCAAAAGATGAGTAAGCAAGAGTAAGTAAGTAAAGTGAAAAAAAATACGCAATCAAAAGGAGAAACGTCATGGAGGATGTAAAAAAAGTTAACCAGAAGTTTTCGAGCTTGTCATTCGTTATTGCTGTCTATTTTCATCATCCTTATCCATGTACTGTCCTCCTTGTTTTTCTCTTACATCTCTGACGTTTATCTCCAAACTAAACCTTTTATTCCAAGATCTACTCCTTTCGCTCAAATTATCAAGGCCACTTTCAGTACTTTTCTTTCAGAATAAGCTTTATTTGTAAATTGAGCTCCTTTACTGGTATTTATTCGATTTGAACGTTTATCTTGACTGTAAAAATGTAAATAAACTTTTCGTTTGATAGATGTCTGCCTCGAAGGTTTTATTTTTGAGGGAAAGAAATTTTTTATATATCTTAATTTCTCGGAAAATAGCCATGATCGTCTGCATCACCCCAGGTGAGACAAAACACAGGAGAGAACGAATGAACGGCCAGTCTATTATGATTGGTTTTTCGCACTAAGATATGAACCTACTCACTACCTGACAGGCTCATCTCTAGAGACGTCACCGCGTATATTTTGCTTCATAGGTAAGTTTACGCATGACAATTCAAAACGACGACAAACGGCAAAAATGAACTGTAATATCATTCTCTCTTCATGTAATCCTTACATAAACCCCGTGGGAAAACAGAGCGAAGATCTTTGTTCACAGCTAATGGAAATATCTGCAAGTTAGGGAACAAATAAGTGAATTTGCACAAAAAAGAAGACGGTACGAAGTTCCTTCTCAGCCGTCTGCCGTTAATGCCGCTATTCTTTGTCTCTCTTTTAGCATTCATCGAAAAAGGCCAGAGACAAATGTGAGACAGTACTTCGATAAAGTCGCTCACAAAATATAGAAGTGGATCCTGAAACTTGGACATCAATTTTGAATTCATACCATTCGTTCATCAGCGTAGTCTCGGGGAAAAAACACTATATTGCTAGCTACTTACAGGAGCAGTAAAGCTGAATCTACGGTCACCTCCACCTCAAAACAAAGGTTTTAATGTCAACTGATAAGATAGTTGTTACATGAGCATTTTTTTCAAACTTTTAGCATGATAGCATCCTTCCCGGAATTACGGTCGAATTGCAGCGTTTGAACTATTTGCAATGTACTTGCTGGTTTGAAAATAATTTTTTTGTATTGTCTTTCACAGAGAATTCCAATGTGCTTTTCACATGGGCCTCTATGCATATATTTAGTAAACGTGATGACTATCAGCGGTTCGCGAAAAGACGTGTGCTGCTCATTGCCGTAACAAGTTCCAAAGAAATGAAGAATGAATATTTTTTTGATTATTCCTCGAAGAGAGTTGCTCGTTACACATCGCTATTTGTAACACTTTTTGACGTCTGGTTGTACAGTGTCGTGTACAGTTTCAGGCGAATATCGTTCCCCAAAAGACAGTCGCTCTCACAACATGTGAGGTTGGCCTTGATGTCTCAACTCTTTAGCTTCCACTTCTACTTGCAAGGAATACTGCCACCGGCTCCATGATATCTAATTATAGACGTAAAAGAGATGAACAAGAGATAAAAACAGTCATGAGTATTTTTCAAAGTGACGATTTTGTATTGTATAATTCTAATGGAAAATGTTGTTGAAGGAGTACAACTTCAAATTATGAACAGAAGATTGACTGACATGTTGCACCATTGGTAATGGAAATCAAACATCACACGTTCCCTGTAAGTATCAATTTTAGGGTTCAAAAAGAGGGAAATCAGCTATATACAGGTCTGAATTTGGAAGTCGTACATAATTATCTTGAACTTATTTGACTGACACAAATCTTTGGTCCTGGAGGGTGGAAGGTGAAGACTCTATGCTGGTGTGAACCATAGAAAATGTAACTAAAATTGGGCTGAAAATGCATTATGTGCAAATCAACAAGCTCCTGCTAATTGTAGAGGTTACATTGTACATCAAAAATGTTAATAACTGGGATTCTGTGGAATCAAAGGGAGCTGTCAAAATGTGATTTTCACTGCTTGCAATCTTGATAGCAGAGGCTCTTGCACAATAATCACACTAAAAATTTCTAAACTTATGTTCAAATTTACAAAAGCAAAGCAAAATGAAACAAGAGCATGTGATGTAAAGATAAAAATTCTTAGTAAGAAGTACATATACACACCCAGCAATCAATACTCTGTTTTGAATATGTCTCCACCACTCCTATTAGGTAACAGTATCTAACCTCTTATCTTGTAATCATTCCTGTCCTGTGTGGATGTCCATTCCCTGACTGCCTTGTACACAGTTTCCATTGGTGCTGTGTATGTTATTCTCCCCAAAATGTCAATTTTGTCATGATATCTTCATTCTCAAGTCAAGAAAACTGACAACTTTAACCCTTTATGCTCTTAACATCAGTATGCAAATTCTCCATAATTTGTTTAACAATCAAGAACTTCTTTAGTTGGTGATCATTTCCTATTTTCTCATGACCTTAGCTTGATTCAGGTATGACATTATAGGGAGAAATTAGAAGCTAGTCACTCTTAAAGGTACAAGTGTTAAAACTGACTGACCACATTACTTTTATTAGAATATCATATAGATTATTATATCCAACATATTTACTTTTTCTTACTTACTGATTTCTTACTTTAGCTTAATGAACAATTTAGTTGCAACTTGATTCTGACAGTGTGGAGAAAACAACTTAATTTCACATTTACATCATTATAAAGTTATCAATTTCCAAACATCATGACAGTGTGCATGATAAACTTCAAAAATATTCAATTTCCTAGAAAATGCTTTGTGTCTTGAATAACTTTTCATCATTTTAAGATGGATGTAACTTTTGGTAACTTTTCTTATGATTACACAAGCATTTCTCTGGCTCTTTTCAGTTGCAGTGTTGGTCAGAGCAATCACATTTTGAGGTTCAGTATCAACCTGAATGGTAGTGAATGAATGCTAATCCTAATTCTTTGAGACAAAAATGCTTATTTCTACGTGAATCACAGGGTTTACACACACTCAAAAATAACAAGTCCTCTTCAACATAGCTGATCAAAGTTGGTGCCAATCACCAAAGGTTGCTTTGTGCAACCAGGAAATAACACATGATGTCATAATAAAATGTTAAAAGGATACAATCCACTGTGTATTCTGTTCAAGTCACAGAGCCCCTCAAGTAGGTCTGCAATTGAAGGCTGAGTACCAGTCCCTTCACAAACCACAGACATGGAAAGATAACCTACAAAACATATTAGAGTTTGTGCAAGTTACTCATAATTTTTCAACAACACTGCAGGGGCAGTTTGGTTTTAAAAATTATAATGTGTAATCAAGCTGGGAAAAATGGGAAAACAAATTTACTAAGCAAGCAGTGATCTTACCTGAAATAGTGACTAGATACATGTATCATTTTCAACAATGCTTTGGATTAAAATTTGGTTATTGGAGTTTAATAACTAATCAGGATACACTACCCTGATATCCTCTCATGCTACCACATACAAGGGCTCAAAATCAAAGAGATTCCAAAAGACACATGTTTTTCAATGACCTAGTACACAATGATGAGCAGAAATGGTCTTTACAACTTATCTACAATTTAAGGAATCATTTGAGAAGGGTTTAAACCTAGACTTCCCGGTACTCATGTCACCAATGGATTGTTGTAACAGATGAGGACCACTGAAATGAAGCATACTGCTAGTAACCCACCATTCATGTACGTACACTGTAAATGCAAACTTGTCAGAAGAGTTTGTCAAATATCTACCAAAAGTTGCAAGATGTGGCTACCCTTCTGTGTGACACTTACTGGAATGAGCTTCGTAAACTTCCAAACTGCTTGAACAAAGTTTTGCAACCTTGTCTGACACACCCTTGAATATGTTCCTACAAGAAATTCAGAGAGTTGAAACAGAAAATCTTTAAAGCATGTAGGATTTAAATGCTTGTGGAAAACAAATTTTCAAACAAGTGATGTTGGAGTACATTTAAACATTAGATGGAGGAAAAGGTCTTTCAAAATGTGTTTAGTTCTGTTTAAAAGTTCATCCACTTTCCTAACATAAATTGATTGCACAAATTGAATGGAGCAGCTATTGGTAACAGTATCAAGTACTGACTGGTAATATTCTCAATGAAACCACGTTGAAAGTAACTGATAAGAGCCCAGTTGGTTAATTTAGCTTTACTTGACTTGCTGAAAGCTTTTTATCCTGAATTACGTTATAATTAATGATAACTCTGACAAAAGTAACTCCAAAATATACTCATAAGTCTTGTGTAACTGGGCAATTCGTCCAGAGATTAAGGGCGAATTTTCTAAGGATTGGGGCGAAAAGTCTAACGAAAGGGAGCGAGCAGTCCAGGATAAGTTTTCTCACTACAAACTGTAGATTCAACGATCACAAGGGGCACCAGACAGTGCTATCAATTTAGAATTAAATCTGCATAAAAACAGCTTACAGATCATCTTGAATCTTTTCCATGATTCCCTCCATTTGCTTCAAAAGTTTGTATTCAAGTTTTTCCTTTAACCCCTCAAAATCGCACAGAGGAGAACGTTCGAAAGAAGTTTTCGCACAAGAGCGAAGTTGCTCCATTGGACTTGTCAACGACTGAATCAGTTCATTAGAGTGACGCTGGGTATCCTTCCATAAATTAAGTTGCTTCTCAACTTCCCTGTATGATTTTTCAAGCTTATCGAGGCAGAGAGTTTCTCCCTTTTCCATTTCATAAAAATAAAGGTGGAAATCTGGCCAAGCTCGTTTCACTTTACGAAGTTAAGCTAACCTCAAACTGTCCGCCATGTTGAAATCGCGCGCCCGGGGTTCTTCATATCTCACAGTCAGCAGCTTTAATTTCAAGGTGTAACAGTACCACCGACGCAGCACCACAGTTTCTTTGGAAACTTACCCCTTTATTCATGTGTTTGGTATCGCTTAGTTGATAACAATTGTTCCCATAAACATATCAGTTAAACTATTAGAATTGTGCGCATATATAACCGATCGCAGAAAATTGAATTTAAAATTTTTTTAGCCTAAAAGCTAATTGGCAGCCTTAAATCTTTGAGTTGGCTTAGTCAATAGGACCCGTAAAAGTTACTGTCGCGGTGATGCTTGCAATAACACGTCACTGGTGTTGTTTTATCGTAATCGAGTTATTTCTCCTCGTAAACGTTTCACTTCTCTCTACTAAGGTACAAGTTTTCGCTTTAAATCTTTTACGAGAGATAGTTACAGCGGCTAATTGCTAGCTTTTATTCATTACTAGCCACAGGAAAAATATCAGCAAAT